CAAGGTTGCCCGCTATCACCTTTCCTCTTTAACTTCTCCATTGATGAAGGCATGGAAAGTTCCTCCGCTGGACACGAGCTACAAATTGTGGGGCTACTTCCTGGTGAGAGACTTCTTGGCTTGTATCATCCTAACAACATTGCCCTTATCTGTGACAGCTACCAAACATGCGGAGAAACCCTGGACAAATTAACACTGGCCGTCAGTCGTCTTGGGCAATGCTTTGCTCAGTATTTTACCAAAATTGACTGATACTCACTCACGGGTTGACCATCGGTGATGACCAGCTGGAAGCCGTTCAGAAATAAAGGTATTTGAACAGCCAAGTTAACACCCGAGGAATAGTAGATTATATCACAATCCGCATGGCAAAAGCTCGAAGCGCTTTTGCCAATGGCTGCCGACCGTGACGTCGGCGCCAGATCAATTTCGCTCTAAAGGACAGGCAGAGTTTAGTATGCAGTCTTCCGTTCAATCTTCCTGTACGGGAGTAAAACCTAGCCAGTCAGATCGACAGCCGTAGATATGCTCGTTACATCTAACCATTGCTGCCAGTGCAGCTTAGCTCATGCCTGTTGTGAACACCGTGTTAGCAATGAACCTGTTCAGCATCACGTGTCTGGTGCAGAAAGAGCGAGTGAACCACTCAACACCATTACATAACGCACCAGTCTTCGATGACTGGGCTACATGTTACGAATGCCAGCCGACCGATTCCGCCGATGTGTGTTGTTTGCGCGATCGGAGCCGGAATGCAAGGGGAGGAGGGTAGGCCAAACGATGACTTGGTCAAGAGGAATGAACACTCCCACCAATTTTGGCGTCGGTTGGTGTCTCCCGACTGCCGGACTGCGGTCCGAAGGTACAGTAAACACATCGGTTTGGATACGCTTGTTGGCGTGGCGAAGAGCCGACCTCAATGGAGTTTGTGTTGTGAGTCTCTTTGTCTCTCTCATCCCTATAGCTTCCTCTCCAGCAACGATCTTACACCCAATGAACAATGAACAATGAATCTATACGGGTTAAGAAGCGTTGCTTTACAAGTCCCGTTGGATACTTGCAGGGGATATCAACATAACAATAATGATGATAAGGATAGTAACATAGTTAATACTTTAAATATGAAAATAAGGACTTATCGTTTGCTTCGCTGCAGTCTTGCGATCCTCTTAGATTCATAGCATGCACAGTTAACAACAAATAATTCCATGGTAAACTCCAGGTGTAGGATGGAGACGTAGTGTTAAGTAACAAAGGGTAAGTGGATGAGTGCATCGTCCAACCTTCTTTTAAATACTGTTAGATTCTGGGAGAGCATTCCACGGGTGACAGATACGGATGGAAAAGAAATTTCTGCCGCACTCCAGACGACTGTATCGTTCTGCGAGTTTTAATGAGTGGCCCCTCAGGTTTGTATTGATGCTGAGTTGCAGTAAACGGCGGCACACATGATGTGGGTCTCGTAGAATCAAGTATGCCATAATCAGGTCGCCTCGTAGTCTGCGATAGCTTCCACTGAACAATCCCAATCGTCGCAGCCTCTCCTGGTAGGAAAGATTGCGCATTCCAATTACGTTCTTAGATGTCCGGCGTTGTGGCTGCTCCAGTGCATTAAGGTCGTGTTTCAGCTATGGATGCCAGGTTTGAATTGCATATTTGACATGGGGGCGAACATACGCACTGAGCATATGGAGCTGTTTATTTGTCCAAACGCCCGCGTCAACAGCCCGACGTGTTGGTTCCCGGTCTTCGAGGCCTTTTCGGATTGCCTGGAGCAACCCAAGTCATCTTGAACCAGAACACCCAAGTCACGTTCGAGAGTTGATTGTTGCAGTACATCCGTTCCGAGTCGGTATGAGTAGCTGCCCTGATGTCGGATAGAAAGCACCTTGCATTTACTGACGTGGAAATGTAATAAGTTTTGGGTCGACCATTGATACACTGTATCTAAGTCACTCTGAAGCACATGTTGGTCGGTGTTCGCCTGGATCTTGCGCCAGATCTTGATATCGTCGACAAACATTGGGGAGTTCGAAGCGATTCCCTGTGCAAGATCATTAATAAACACCAAAAACAAAACGTGGACCTAGAACCGAGCCTTGCGGCACACCACACTCCACTTGTGTGGGGTCCGATAAAGAGCTCCGAACTCTGACCACTAATTGCCGTTGATGTAGAAAGTTGGCGATCCAGCTTAAAAGAGGGTCTCCGATCCCGTAATGCTGCAGCTTGGACAGTAGTATCCAATGGTCTAGACGATCGAAAGACTTGTAAAAATCCAGGTAGACCACATCGACACCTTCTCCAGCATCGGCCGCCTCGGTCCAACTACTGCGTGCAGTTAGTAAATTAGTTGTACATGACCGCTGTCGACGGAAACCGTGCTGTTTAGGAGTGATGAGATTGCAGTTTTCCAGATAGCACACCAGTGCATCGGCAACTATGGATTCCATGACCTTGGAGAGTATAGGAAGAATGGTTACTGGTCGGTAGTTGGAGGGATCATTACTGCTTCCACTTTTGTGAATCGGGCTTATTATTCCAAGCTTCCACATGGCGGGAACTTGGTTCTGGTCTAAGCAGCGCTGGAACAACTGAGCTAAAGGTGCTGCCAGTTGGTTTGCTGCTGCTCCCAATGCCTCTGGACGAATGGTGTCGCCACCCGGCGAGCTGTGTTTGCGTGGAGAAGTCAGCTTTTGCAATACAGCCTCTGCGGTAAAAGTGATGTGGGTTAGTCCTGGCGAGCAGAATACAAAGTTGGTAGATCGCCTGATGGCAAGAACCTTTGAAACGTGGGGGCGTATTGCATCTGCAGCGCGTTTGCAGCTTCCATAGACGTACTTGCTTGGCCATCAGCTGTTTTGAGTGGAGGAAATCCTTGCTTCACCTTTCGTAGGCTATTAACGTGCTTGTACAGCAGTTTGTGGTTAGCACTGAAGGTTTTTGCGATGTTTAGCTGATAGGGGGCTTTGTCTTCTCTTAGCATTTGAATCCAATGGTTACATTGGGCTACGTATTTGTCCCAAGTTTCTGGCGCTGGAGCTTCTCTGTACACTCGCCATGCTGAGTTGCGTACTGTCATCCATTTCCGGGTTCTGCTTCTAACGAAAGAAACTGATTTACACTTCTTGCAAGCTTTTATCTATGAAGCCCCTGCAATCAGCTGACTGAATATGTTGACGAACTCGAGCCAGGCGACTTCTGGGGGTTCTTCTTCGAGGAAAGACCATGTTGTGGCGCTGACTAGCTGGACTAATCGGTCGTACCTTGTGATGGTTCGCACAGTCTCATCTTTATCATTCCGATATTCTGCATAGCAGACGAAGTTGAAACTGATGACTGCGTGAACACAACGGACCAACGGGCAGTCTAAAACCAACGCATCAATCATATGCTCCTCGTTGGTAAGCACAAGATCTAGCACAGATGGCCTGTTACCAGTCCTGAACCGAGTGGGCAAAGTGATGTGGTTTTAAAGAGGAACAGTAGTTACTAGATTTTGTAAATCGGTTTTGAATTGTTCTCCGATCGTGGCAGGGGCTTCTAAACAATGTACGTTGAAATCACCCATGATAAGAATGTGAGTGTGCTTTTGTTGTAAATTGTACCTTAAAGCAGCCGCTAGGTGGTAGTCGGTTTCGGGTGTTGAGTTAGGGGCGCGGTACACCAAGATAATAAGGCAAGTTTCTCGGCCTTTTAACTGCAACCGGCACCAAACAGAGTCCGGGAACTGCGAGTCTGAATCCACCACGGCTTCGCACTGTAAGTCGTTTCGGTAGTACAGGATTACCCATAATCCATCGTATATTAGGATGTGCAGCCTTATAGTACTAGTTTTAGTTTTTTGGGCTGATAATGTTTTATCTCTTGTCTTTTTTGTATGGCCGCGCATTAGCTGTTTGTCTCTTAGCCTAAGCCAACGTGTATTGATGATGATGACGGGGACCTATGGCTTTAGGGTATTCGTGACGTTTAGTGGATGACCGCAAGGAGTCATCAAGCGGAGGTATGGTCAGTCACTGTGACAACTTTGGCACACAAGATCTACATTGTCTTTCATGTTTTATTTTACAATCATATTCTAGTTTGTATATTCACATTGGCAGTGCAAATGATAATAATAAAGCCGTTTGCATGTACATGACCTACCTTGACTAAACGTGCTAGCACAAAACAGTCACAAAGCAAGCCAATTTGCGTCAGGCAACCCATGGTAGTTGTGAATATAGCTCATTAGCTGGTGAGTACTGAGATGCCCAATGACTTAAGCGCTATTAATTAACATCACCGCTCAAATCAAGCCCACATTAACCCAGATGATAGTAGTAGGTCAAATACCATTTAAGAAAGCTAATCGTACATTGTAAAACTAGTCTGGCAGTCGAATGTAGCGTGGGAACTATTGATCATAAAGGTGTTATCCGCCTATACTATACTTATGGGGTCTGCAAAGCTGTGTGACATAAGATGAAAGTTTCAGCGTGGGACGCTTTCAAGCTAGGCCGCCAGTAACTCCATCTACCTAGTTGTGGCCTTTTCCGACGACCAGAGGCTCTTTTCGCTGGTCAACTTAAGCTCAGTTCTCGCCATCTTGCAGTATAGTGCGTTCTATTAGATCGAGTTGCCTGCAACTCCCACATAAAATACATCGTCTACTGGATCAGTTTGTAAACATTAGCGACTTGGAATCCCTATTTTGCCTCTTGAAAAAATGCTGTTTGTAGCCACGCCGGAAATGTCATGGGGCAACTCAGCCAGAATATCAGAAATCTCAATACACCATAGTTACTTAAGGCGTTCCGCTTCAGGATGAAACTGCCAGCATAAGCCGACCAACGTGAACGACCTAGAAAGTGTTGCCATTGATGCGCGACATCAGAGGCATGGGCATGGTCTGTGCCCAAATTTATTATTTTATTACTGAGTTACATTGGTGAGATCCATGTTGGGCTGTATTCTTTGTATCAAGAGCTGTGAAGTTGGAGCCTAATCAAAAAAACTCACCCCAACGCTTGGATGGTCAGATTGAAGTAAAGTGGATTGGCAAAGATAAAACGTGCCTTCAGTTTTTGCCGCTGCCTTTCGTACGTGCGCCTTCGAACGTTGTTTCTCCATCTGGATAAGAAAAGGAATTAATCAGTCGCATAATTCATTCAGTAAGTGATGACGAGCAGGTCAAATTATCCTCTATGTATTCACATTGTAATATCTCATCACAGCTGGGACCACTAATTACGCTGTGCTAAAATTTTATCTTACCTAGCATGAGGAATGAATCCGTGGCTTCGACTTCGATGGTGTGACTGACTTTCGATGGTTTAGCCACTGAAGAATGCAACGTTTTGAACATCGTACGTAAAGGTAGTCGCATTATAATTCATAACGCTTGCGTAGCGCCGGCCAGATGAACATCAGTGCCTCTACGTTGCCAGGATAAGTGAACAGCACTCGTGACAGCGTCCAAGAGTGCACTGACACTTGAAACACTTTATAAAGCCCACGTATCTAAGCCTATTCACAGGTTCGAATTTGATTGAACTCTCGAGCATGCCAGTCAGAAGTATTGAGACAACAACAACATCGAACTGATACATATAGACGCCATGACTGCATCGAGATGTTCCCACAATACTTATACCTAGATCACCCCAAAAAAGATTGTGAAGCGAGAGTTAGGCACCGGGCTCGTATGTGTGCACTCCAATGTTGGACGCTCCACACATACCTTGCACCTTTAGTAAGCATAGTCTCGTCATGCCTGAAACGACACAAGAAAGGATGACCGTTTCCTTCTACTCCGCTGAATGACAGGCACACCTACTTGCTGCTATGTTGACTTACCAGATTCCAAACTACCTCAGACTATTCCAAATCAATTGCGTCTGTAGATTTAGGAATATTAAACCGACACACAGTTTAGCTTGTGTCGGCGGTATTTCTTTCCATCGAGTATGTCAGCTGGTGTTCCTCTCAAATCAACCAGTTTTCGCCCCTACACTGATGACAATCATAGAACGATTGGGGAAGCACTCATCCGCCTACGTTACGCGATAACCTTGGTATTCAGTATAAAGTGACATAGGGCGATCAAACAGGAGCGACTATAACTACTCCCCTGAAGCAATTTCAGGCGGATACGTGCACCCGCCGGTCCATGATAGCCATGAGAAGTTTAAAGTCTGCGGATCTTCTTTTCTATACCTTTCACGATTGTTTACATCCATAGTACAATTGAATTGCTCCTTAAGGATCTTACTTGCATCCGAGTAGTTGTTAGACATCTTCAGTCAGACAATGACAATAGAGAAACAAAGGTCAAGTATTTTAACAGTGACCCCGCTCACTGTACTTACATTCCTTGTTCTTGTGCACATTCCCTATACCTGAAGGTTTTGGCTGCTTAGTTAGTTACCTCGATTTCACCAGATTATCTCTCTCTCTCTCTCTCTCTCTCTCTTAGACAGCACCATTAGGAACAAGTGTCTTTTAAGAAGAGGTCGTCTAGTCTGTCAACAGGGATATTGTAGCGTAAAGCAGTGAACGCTCCCACAGAATGTACAGAGGATTGTCGTTTAGCATCTGTGGACCACTGTGAAGCCAAATCACAATCAGTATGACTCATTTCGGTAGAGTCATATGAGTGATGATCGAATGATCTCGCAAATTTCCGAGGGTGCCGGCTGTTCGCGTGATCTCATATCAGGATGCTAAGGGAAGGAGCGTAAGCTAGTAACAACACAGCCCACCATCGCTTTCATTTTCCTCTGAGCCAGCGGACCTTGAGTTTGGTATGCTTCGAGTCATTGAACGGGCCACTTGTTCGATGATCGAATTGTAACACACTCATGGTGACACATTGCTAAGGTTCAAGTCACTGATGCTATATAAGGTGGCTGCGGCTAGCATCTCTTTCCTATATGCAAGTTCACATATTCTTTTTACATCAACTGTGAAATGCACCGGCGGTTACCTGATATCCATAGAGGCAGCTAAGCTGCGCCGGTTAGAAGAAGCTCCTCAAGTCAGGTCCAAGTCATTACGGTTGCCACTAGTTGTACGGGCTTGAACCGATAGAACCATTCCCTAAGGAAATTTACACAGCGCAATTCACTTTTTACGGGTATCGATACATACTGAACCTTAGTTTACCTCGGCAACATGAGCATAACTAAGAGCGACGGCGTGCGGCGATTAAAAATAACCGCTTTAGTTTTATTCGCCAAACACTGTTTCCCTCAGATGTGTCCAAATTCTGTCTAGGCCTAACTGCCGGTGAATTTGGGAACATGCTTTTTAGCTTATTGTTGCAGTTTTATCAGCCGGAAAATTTAGAGGGTTTATATGTCCCCGGCGATCTTGAAGGGCAATTGCCGCATGGTTCCGACATTTAATGTTTTAGTTTACTTGTCGATTCTTCTTTAAGGTAGATAGCAAATTCGAAAATTGCCATACTGCTGTGTGTGCTGTTCAAATTGTCATGTAGTAGGCAACCTATAACACCGTAGCTCGAGGATCTTGCCGTTTTCCGGCAGCAGCTGCATGCACACACAAAACGTTTTGCTACGATACCCTCAACCCTGACCACCAGCTGTGATCCGGACCTAGTGCATCTGAAGACTGACAGCTGTGAGGTATGCTGTACCCAGACAACCGGCAGCATCAATGACGCTACCCACTTCTCGCAATCGCACAAGCATTATGAATTTCTGGCGAGGAAATAAACAGCATCGACATCGGTGAATGAAAATCTCAAGTCATTCTCATCTGCTACTCCGGAAAGCTAGTACCAACTGGCCTTCGCGCTTGCCTAACTAAAGATCAAATAGACTGTTCGCGAAAGACCTCAAAGGTGGGTGCAACTTTAAGACAACTGATTATTTCCTACCGTTAGTGTGGAAGAGGTCGTCACATTGCAGTCTTTATGTTGAACTGATGTCAGAAGGAGAAAAGAGGCTGTTTCCGCATAAGCGTATGTGAATCGTAGTGAAGTTCGTTAGTAGACCTAGTAATTTCACAGACACTATCGGGAAATGAAAAGTAAATAGATGTCCTCTGAACAGGTTCATGGCAGTTGAGAGCATCAAAAACACACATTCACTGTGTTTTCACTGTATACCATGTAAATAGTGTTCCCCGGACAGCAAATCACTGCCACCAACAAGAGGCAGGGTACTCTCAGATCCCTGGAATGAACTTTGCCCTTGTCTGTCCCGGATGTGACACCTTTGTCCTTTTTGTCTGGCTGGTCGGCATCGATGAACTTTAGTAATTTCTTTAGCGTAATGTGGACAACTCCATTTGCCAGTTAAAATGCGATGGGCAATGGGGGAACGTCCTAAATCGACCATCCTAACGATGGTACTGAAAATGTCTCACCTCTCAAAGGCGTGGGTTGTAGAAGTAGTAAATCCAAGTACAAGTGTGTAAAAGTTCACAACCGCTGAGTTTCATTTTGTTGCGCTTACACTTTGCCATTTGTTTTGATTTACCAGTTTGCCAATCCGATTGGGTGCCAAGTCTCTTTATTTTTGGTGGTGGAGCACAGTTTTCCACCGATGTTAACGATATCTCTGACCTCTATTTGTTTGCAACGGATTGGGGCTTAATTTAACTCTCCGTGGACTTTGCTTAGTATAGCGTTTTCAGTGCTCAGATTGATTTCGATAGGTGCCTGGCTGTCAGTTCTTTTGCTTTGCAAACACTGTGGCTTTCTGGTTTAAGAAATCCTAAGCGTGCTCTTCTGGTTGTTCTCCCTACCTTGTAAAGTGGAAGCAACCGCGAGAGCAAGGAAACAGTGTGCTACCCGGCCACATTTCAGTTCCGCGCCCCAATCAAATGACACACCAATATGCACCCTGAAGCTGGCTGAGCATCCATTTCTCTTCTTGACAGAATAACTCCGAGGAAAAGACACTGTTCTATGCCTACTCCTCATGTTTCCTCTTCTAGCTTCTAGCTTATTGTACACTAGTTACAAGCTACCTTCCGGATGAAACCAGGTCGACAACAGTCCATGTGTATGTTCAAGAGCACCATTGCCCGGGTAGTAGTTCAACTTCATTAGTCCATCCGTGTGGAGTTCATTCCAGGGACGAACCAAGCTGACGGTCCCTAAGCGAAGGTTTGTTCCAGTCCTGGATTATGTCCTGTCGCGTTCTATTGTTGTTACTCCTACTTGCAACCGTGAGTAATTTGCATCACCAATAAGATTTATGAACACGAATAGGATTTACCAACACTGTGACGTGGCGGACGTGACTCGCCACTAAATAAAGTCACTGCCCCTTGCTTCATCCTGGCGAAGCATTGTATTCCTGCAAACATATGCTGTACTTCTGGGGAGCATTGGGCCCCTGTTTGACAAAGGAACAAACGAAAGGCGTATGAACTGAGCAATCAGTCACCGGCTCCCAATGGGCGCGATTCCCTGAATTCGCTCCGCTGCCTTGCGGGCAGGCTATTCAGCCAAAGGCTCGGGGTGGTGTCCCCTAAGTCAACACCCTACTTCGGCTTGGGCAACCGGGTAGTATCTCGCCCTCTGAGGAAACCATGGACATTGTTGTGTTGTGTTTTATTCTACTGTTTCTGTACCTTCGTTTGAAACCCATGGTTTCTGATGGCATTATGTCTGTTAGCAGACTTTTGCATATATATATATATATACATATATATATATATATATACCAAAACAGCCTTCGGATGCTTTGGGCGCACAGGCGCAGCTTCAGCACTTGGCCCGAAGAGATTGCCTCTGGCCTCTTCATCTCAATAATACGACCAATGCTAGAGTATGGCTCTCCCACGTATTGTCTTATCATCCGGGGCGAGGTAGAAAAGATTGAGCGAGTGCAGAATGTAGCCATCAGGCTGATTCCCAACTTACGAGGTATGCCATACGAAGCCCGATGTAAGAAACTAGGGCTGTACACCGTAGCTTATCGTCGGCTGGAGGTTGACCTCATCATGCCGCACCGGATATTACATCTGGATGATTACCCCATGTTGAGACAACTGCTTCATCTGCGCACACCAAGCAGCACACGAGGACATCGGTATAAGCTTGTCGTACTGGATTTGAAGTGGGTCGCTCACCAACTCTGTTTCGAACGCAGAGT